ATTGGTGCCGTTGGCGTGCTGTATTGTGTGGCGTTCCCTGCTGGTGTGTGCTACATGATTGCCCGCTACACGGGCGCGAGCTTCACGAAGTACTGGCAGTTTTCGAGGAAGCCGCTGCCCGAGCGCCTGCTGTACCCTGTCGGGTATTGGCACCCCGCGGCGCAGCAGCGGATGTACGGCGGCATGCTGACGAACATGAGGGGCAGCCGCGTGTACTGGTGCGTGTTTCAGCTGTCGGTGCTGTGCGTGGTGTGCCTGATTGCGGCTGTGCACCCGTCCGTGGGAGGCTGCCACGTCCAGTACTTCTGCATGGCGGCTGTGCTGCTTGCGGGTGCGGGCGTGGTTGCCCTCACGAACATGATGCGCTCGGCCTTCCTGACGGTGATGCGCGCGGCGAGCTTTGTGCTCCTTGCGGCGCTGTGCGTGGTCAGCGCGGCCAACCATCTTGCGCCGAGCGACGGCGGTGCGAGGGCGTACGCGGCGATCGTGCTGCTGCTGATCGCTGTTCTGCTTGCGGCCACTGTGTACAGTGTCGTTGTGTGGCACGCGGAGGACTGTCACTGGCAGGAGCTGCGCGAGCCGCGGCGTGGTGTGCTGGAGGCGCTGCTGCGCGATGACGAGGAGAACGACGAAGAGACGCAGAAGCTGCACGACATGACGTCACAGTCGTACGCCTCAGGCACCACCGCTGCGTCGTCGTACCGACCACCCGCACCGCCGTAGCCCATGTCCGGTGACACCCGCTCAGACGCGCTGAGCCTGTTCGACCATGTATCCAGTGCGAGCTGCAGCATTAATTATGCCACTCTGGACAGGTGAAGATGCTCTGCTTGACGAAAAATTTAGCGCAGTTTTTTTTTTTTAGGTGGAAAGGCTCCGACCCCAACCGTACCGTTACGCGGCGAGAAGACACAATGCACCTCGCAGATGCGGCATGACGTAGATGCGTCTGGCGGATCTTCTCTCTTTCCATTATTCATAGATTGATTGGGTGATTGCTTTGTTGCTTTTATTTTATTTTATCGATGACAACGGATTATCGAGCTTGTCACGCTAGCCCGGGGCGGATGCGGAAGGGGTGTGTGTGCGTGTTTTGCGCCCGCCGCTGCAGCACCGAGTATGGGGCTGGTGCTCTCTCTTTCATATCTGTACTTAGTAGTGAGGACGTGCTCGACGGTGGTGGCTGGTGTGCGGGCCATAGGATGCATTCAGGAAAGCGTTAGGGAAAACAATCGATGAAGCCCTTCTGCGACGCGTCACCTCCTGGAGGTTGTGAGTGCGCGTTGCTGGCTGACATGAGGGAGGGCGTGGGGGCCACGGCTGTGCGGCTGCGCAGCCACCCATCGGACTCCGCCCCGACCGCGTCATTGATTGTTGGTTTTTGTTGGTTTGTTTTTGTTTTTTGTGCGGGTGCCTGCAGTGACTCTCCCTCCTGTTGCACGATGACTGTGTGGGAGGACATGCCTGCCGCTCCTTATACTTCTGGCGCTGTGTAGAAGGAACAACGAAAGAAGGAACGAATAATTATGCGGATTGATGTATCACTTTGTGTATGTATATATGTATCGATGTACTTCTGTGGATTATTTCACTATTTCTTCCTTCTCTTTTTTTCTTTTACGTCGCTCCAAATGTGTTTCAGTGTTTGCTTTAGTACGGCCACACACGGGTAGCTTGAGTCGCGAATAGTTTTTCTTTTTGATGTCATTTTGTGTTGGGCAATAATGTGGGCACGTTCGTCAAGCATCCACTTTCCACAGCATGGCGTTTGATATTTTGGAGTCATCCCAGGTTTAACGCCGGCACCACCGCCGTGGCAGTCATGGGGATTAAGATGGAACGCGGGGCAGCGAAAGATATTGTGCGGCACATGTGTCTGCTGCATTTGTTCTGTCGTGGTGGCTTCAATGTGGAAGAAGAGGGATGCACATTGCACGATTCCGAGGCTTGGAGGAGTTATTGCCCTGCCCCTCTTTTATTATTATTTTTTGTGACGCCTGTTTCCCACCCGTGTCTGCCTCGATTTGCCTCCCTGAGTGGAGCTGCGCCGTGGCCATCCTTTTGGTTGTTTGCGGGAGGAAAAAAACATTGCGAGTGACGAAACCACACGTCATTTATGCGGTGTCCGGGGAGGTACGTATTTGAGGCGGAGTGCACATATGTGGATGTCGTGTAGGACGAAGCGGGGGCTGACTGATCAACCGTCACTCCTTTTCTGGAGAGTGTGCTCCCCTTTTTTGATGTTGCCCTTTTGTGTCGGGGCACGGCGGGATTGGACAGCACCGTCCCACGAAAGGTCTTGCGCACATGCACACTCTCATTCCGCTGTCGCCCCCGGATTCGGTTGCAAACTCAAATTTCAGCTTTTTGCATTGACGCAATTATTTTTATTGATTGACGGACGCCATTCTGTGCGGCGTGTCATTTTGATTGGATTGTGTGGGACTGCTCGCCAACACCATCAAACAAAACAGGCTGAAGATTTCAAGTATTTAAATGCCATCTTGCACTCGTATTTTTTTACGCTCTGTTGATGTGCACTCAAGCAGCGAGGGATTTGGAACTATGCGTGCGTGGGATTTTTCCTGCCATTTGAACCGCAGGCAGCACCGAGGGGCTGTCACTTTAATCCGCAGAGTTGTTGTGTCTCTTCGCAGGGTTGACAGGGAAATTCCATGCAGTCAGCTACTGCTGGTGTGTCCCCAAATGTTGTCACTCCATGCGAATGATGTGCTTCAGCGAGTGAGGGTGTTGGTTGGGTTTGTGTGCACTCTTGTTCTGTTTGCTATTTTGTGCGGGCACGCAACACTTGAGGGGTGGGAAAATGGAGCGGGGCGATGCCTGGCCGCGTCCCGCCCATTGTTCACTGCACGGTGGTGTGGTGCACATTGTGGTGTCGACTCTGCGATGTGACTGCGGTCTCCTGCGCAGCAATGGTGGTGGGTGGAGGAGAGTGTTGGCCCGCGGCGGGAGGGTGGGATCGTGCCTCCTTTTCTCTTTGTTCCTTCTCTTTTTGAAGGTGTGCACTTATTTTTGGTGTTAGTGATGGGGCAAACAGACGGACAACGTGAGTAAAATAAAATAAAAAAGGACGATATAGTGTGGCGGTGTTGGGGTTGGTTGCAGGCCTCGCGTTGCTGCGGGGGCGGTGGGCCTCGGCTGCCTTACCGACAGGCGTTGCAGTGTGGCTGCATGGCGCACCGACAGCTCCGCCGTGCGAGTGCCACGCCCAACGCCATTGGGACTGCGGGAGGAAACAGCCGCGAGTGTCCTTTGGAGCCAGCGGCACCTGCATGCCGCAGTTGGGCGGTGCGAGTGGGATGCTTCACCGCACGGGTGTTGTGATGGCGCCTTGCAGCGGCTCTTGTGATGTTTCCGACGCTGCAGCTCGACATATGGCGGGGAGTAAAGTGTGGCCGCAGTGGACCATGAGCAGCACCAACATGAGGCTGAGTGATTTCCTTTGGAATTATGTTGGCGGCAGGGCGGCCGTTGATGAAAGACTACAATGTGACGATGGAGGTGTTTGTTCAGGAGTCGGATGATTACGTACAAGACCAGCGGCTTCTTGAAGAAATTCTGAACTTGACTGCGTACCAAGCGCTGGAGGCCATTACTAGGCCTCTTCACGAAGGTGTGCTCTCTCTCGGGCAACGTGGGACTATGAACGAAAAGGATACGATCACTCCTCCTGCAAGGGAAAAACCAAACGGGGTACTCACGCAGGTACCGACAGAAGCGAGGCGGGAGGCAGAGGAAAGGCTAAGACAAACGCAGGAAATGAAATTTACCATTTCCACTAATATCGAAGAGGTACTGTTTAAAGGAAGAGTTCGCGTCAATGAAATGAGGCTGAACGACCTTCTTACGAGGGAACCGGACGGCAGGGGAGTTGTGGACACCAATCGGGATGTCTTGCTGGAGGAGTTTTTCAGGGACCCCACGAGGTATATCCGTGATAAAGGAGCGTTGAACGAAATACAGGCATCAGGTCGTTATTTGAGTATGAGGCGAGCTGTAAAGGGTGAAGTGGTCTTCGACGAGGATATACGCAGGCTATGCGATAAGGGTGTCAACAATCTACCGGGGTGGTCATTAGCTGCTGCGAAGGTAAAAGCAGCTGTTCATAACTCCACTAAACATTTCTTGGATGCGGCTGCCGAGGAGGCGAGTAACCCAACGACGACGAGCGCACCGGAGAAACTGGAGGGATTGTACGAGTCTGTGTACAATGCGAGGTGGCATCATGTGGTGGAACTTCCGGACGATGCGGAGCGAAAGAAAACGGGGACGGGAATGGGGGTGCATGAGGGGAGGCCAGAACAGTCATGGTCGTACAGGGAAGCTGACGACGCTATCGAAGAGAATAACGCTGTGCAGCAATCCGGTGCAGCACCTCCCGTGTTGATGGTGCTTGCCTCGGAGAAGGGATGGCCGTACTCGTGGCATACGATACAGGATCTTCCTAAGGACGTTTTTGCAAACTGTGAGGTGGGGCGAGTGTGGCAGATCGTCAAGGACTATCTAACCGCGTGGTTCAGCCCTCACGGTGGGACCGACTGTAAGCCCAGGCGACGTGTGTTGGTTGGGACGCCCTGGATCGGGAAGTCGGTGGCTGCCGGCTCGTACCTCCTCTACCAGCCGCTGTACTACGATGCCGAGAAACTACAACTGGTGGTCCACTGTTTTGGTGGACGAGGTGAGTACTTGTCTGACAAGACCACCAGAGCGGTGACAAGATGCGGCGATGAGGAGATGTGCGTCTCGGAGTTGAGAAGTTTGAGGGGGCATGGGAGGAATGTGTATATTATCTACGGTGTGGCAAAGGAGGGAACGCCGCCACCGAGACATTTTGCGCCTACTTCTGAATGGGGCGTTATTGCGGTGTCATTCCCAAGGGTAGCCAACTATGATGAGTGGGCGAAGCAGCTACAGGCCGCGCGAATCATCGTGAATTGCCCGCCGGGATGGATGTGAAGGCGATGTGCGCCTGAATAACGCGTGATGGGACCAAAGAGAAACAAGCGGAACGCTGGAAAGAGGTCGAAAAACACATGTATCTTTTGGGACCGATTCCACGTCATGCCTTCGATGAGGAGGCGTTTAATGGACGCTGTGGAGCGGTGAAGTTTGCATTGCAACCGATTAACGAGGTAACTGTGAAAGAGCACTTTTCACGGGGAGGTGAGTCGCCATGGTATTCTGAGGATCCGTTCCACAGGCTTGTGAAAGTTGTTCGAGAAATATACGCAGGCAGTGTGATCCTTTTCAATGCACCGATATCTGATTGCCGCGAGGAACGGACATTGGAACGCCTCCCAAGTGTAGCAGAATAAAATAGCTTTTGAGGCTGATGTTGGCGTCTAAGGATAATATTTTGCCAATATTTTTTGGATGGTTTGCTTTAAAATCGTTTACGGAGAGTGCCTTTGCAAAGGCAATAGCGACGAAACTCACGGAGTTTGAGCCGCCAACAGGACGTCAAGCAAAGCCCTGCGTCTTGAAGTTGCCCTGAATTGCATCCCAAGGGAGATGAGGGTTTGCTGCCGAGTGAATATGAAAAACCGATCCGTAAAATGAAGCACGGGGTGCTGTACAAGCCGTGGGCCACAAACTTTCCGCTGGTGGACGCCTTTTACTTTGTGGACTCAAATCCGAAGACGCTGGTTGGGCTGCGGATGGCTACGGCGGGTGGGCGCCACACCACCGCCAGCACTGTGCGGCAGTTCACTGAGTGCCTGGCGGCATATTTTAATGGTTGGGAGGAGTTATCCCGAGACATGTCGTGGGATATTATTTATGTGCAGCAGGCAGACAGCACGCCGATGACTGGCTGGCAGAGATGTGATGTCGTAAATTTCGATAATGCGAGTGAGGAAGAAAGCAAGGGGATTGCGGCGTTCTGGGAGGAAGAGGTGCGCCAGTACCAAGTGTCAATATCATCCAGAGACTTTTGAAGAGACGAAGCTGACCGGAGTGAGGAATAACCGTCGAAATAGGAAAACAAATTGGGGAAAGGGGCAATTTTGATTTGTGGTAAAGAAATATTGTGGGAGTTATATATTTTTGGATGCTTGTGTGAGCATGCGGTGCGGATGCACCAGCACCGGGCGGCAGCACCGCGCACAGATGCCAAAATGTCCAACGCTATCGAACTTAACGGTGACCGAAGAAATTAGGGAGGGAGCGGGGTTGTTTGGCTTCTGGTGAAAAACATTGGGTGATCTTTATATGGTATGCTGATTGTCTGTGGGTACGAGGCGTAATTGGAGAATTGCCCCGGTATGAGGGAATCATTGTGGCTGGCGGCGTCACGGCGTTACTGCATTATCCATTTTCTTCCATTGTGTTTGAAGGCCCATCACTAACAGAAGCATCTTTAAGGGATGGACGACGAATAAGGTCTATTGGAGAAATGGCTCACTCCGTGTGACCGCGTGGACTGAGGCGCCGCGTCGTGGCTGGGTGAGGAATCGCTTTCGCGTGTGGCTCTTTGGGTGATTGCTTGCACCGTGTGCGATATTTGTTGGCTTTGGGGCTGTGGCCGTGTCTCGTTGGCCGTGGGATTGGACTGGAGGCGGTGGTGGTGTGTCTCTTCTTGTTCTTGTCCATTGGTGGATGATTGCTTGCTTGGTGTGCGTTTGTTCTGTGGAGGGCCGAATCTTTTCTTCCGCAGACTGACGGCACTGCGATGGTGTGTGTGTGTGAGGGCTGGTGTGGAGTTGCCGGACGGGGCGAGGGCCGTGGCGCTGCTTTTCCCGCCTGTCGTTTGTTTCGTCCGTTTGTGTTGTGCTGCTTCTTGCTTTTTTCCCCCCTCACCCTCTTCTCCTGTGTTCCTGCGTGGAGTGGCCGCATGCTCACGGGCCGTGTTGATTGTGAGTGCCTCCTGACGGCATCCATTCATCTCCCTCCGTCTGTCTGTCTGTCATTTCCTGTTGGGTGTGGCGTGTTGCACCGCGTGAGGGCTGGCCCGCACACACCGACGGCCCGCCGTGACGCCCGCGATGGCCGGTGCGGAGTGGCGGTGCTCGCTGTCTCATCTCTTTACTTGGCTTGTTTTCCCTTTTCCCTCAACTTCTTGAACACAGACACGCTAGGAAAGCAAGCAAACAAGCGCGAATCGCTACTGTGAAATTCGAAGGCTCTGAAAGGACCAACAACACACACACACCGCCCACACACACATATTTATATGCTCTCACGTGTTGCTGCAGTGATGGCACCCCGCACACACAACCGTCGCCGCGTGACCGGATCCAGCGGCAGGAGGAGGGAGGGAAGAGAGAGTGAGCCGCAGAGGTCCAACATGTCCCGGCGTGTGTTTAATTCCACGGTGCTGCTCCTCCTCGTCGTGTTGATGTGCTCCGCCACCTGTGGAGCTACAGCTGCAACGGAGAATGATGGCAACAGTGATTTAAGAAGTGTTGAGGGGCTGCAATGGGTCGATCTATTTGTGCCGCAGACGACGCCGGTTCTGCCGGAAGGTGGAGGTACTCCAGGGACGAAGCGGGATGCATTTGTTTCACCCTCTCTTGTCAGTGCTGGTGGAGTAATTGCTGCTTTTGCCGGAGGTCACATGAATGCCCAATATGACAGTGATGTATTAATTAAGCCACTTTCTTCTGATGTTGTTGCGGAGTACATTGACTCTTCGTGGGATTGGTCCACTCTTGTTGAGAAGGTGAGTGAAAGTACATGGAGGGCACACACCGTGCTTGATACAACGGATGGAACGAATCGTGTGGGTGTTGTGTTCAACCCCACAACAACAACGAAGGGTAATAAGGTGTTTCTTCTTGCGGGAAGCTATGACATGCTCAATGAAAGTGATGGGAATTGGAAACGGGACAGCCTGGATCTGAAACTGGTTGTGGGTGATGTCACGAAGCCTACGGCGAGCGAGCCGAGTGGATGGATCACGTGGGGCACACCCACATCATTAAGCCAGACTACTTTAAAGACACCCAGTGCTGGATTGAAGGATTTTGCTTCTTCTGGTGTCTCAGGTGTTGTGATGGAGGATGGCACGCTTGTGTTTCCTCTGATGGCGTTTAATACAGAAAATGTCGGTTTCTCCATGATTATTTACTCGAAGGACGACGGCAGTGCCTGGGCGCTCTCAACGGGCGTTTCCTCTGCGAAATGCCTTAAACCCCGCATCACCGAGTGGGAGGGATCACTTCTCATGATTGTTGACTGCGAGAGCAGCCAGAGGGTGTACGAGTCGCGTGACGTGGGGGCAACGTGGACGGAGGCAGTCGGGACACTTCCAGGCGTGTGGACCAAGTCAAAACCAGAAGTCTCTCCGGATGTAAGCCTGCATGTGGAGGCCCTCATCACCGCGACCATTGAGGGAAGGGAGGTCATGCTGTACATCCAGAGAGGGTACGCCTCGGGGGAAAAAAGGGCCACTGCGCTCTACCTTTGGGTGACGGACAACAACCGCTCGTTTTCTGTTGGACCGGTTGCCGTGGAGGAGGCTGAGAAGTGGGAGTTCGCCAGCGCCCTGCTGTACTCGGATGGCAGTTTGCATCTTTTACAACGGAGGGACAACGATAAAGGCCGTGTCATTTCACTCTCCCGCCTGACGGAGGAGCTGAAGACGATCAAGTCCACCCTCAGCACTTGGGCGCAGCTTGACGCCTCCTTCTCCGCTTCTTCCACACCCACGGTGGGTCTGGTTGGACTCCTGTCCAATGCGGCTAGCGGTGACACGTGGATCGACGATTACCATTCCGTGAATGCAACGGTGAGGAATGCGGTGAAGGTCCATGACGGGTTCAAATTCACGGGGTTTGGGTCTGGGGCGATATGGCCTGTGAACCATCGGGAGAGCAATGGGCCGCACAGCTTTGTGAATTACAATTTTACTCTTGTGGCGACGGTGATCGTCCACAAAGTTCCGAAGAACAGCACTACTTTGCTGGGCGCGGTGCTGGCCGAACCCATCAGCACGCTCTTCATTGGGCTGTCGTACGGCACGGACGGTACGTGGGAGACAGTGTTCAACGGCGAGACAACGAAATCAGGAAGCACTTGGAGGCCGGGGAAAGAACACCAGGTGGCGATCATGCTGCAGGACGGCAACAAGGGCTCAGTGTACGTGGATGGTGCGAGTGTGGGGAGCTTGGCGACGTTACCGACACCTGAGGTGCGGGGGGCTGAAATCGCGGACTTTTACTTTGTGGGCGGTGAAGACGAGGAAGATAAGAAGAGCAGCAGTGTGACGGTGAAGAACGTCTTCTTGTACAACCGCCCACTGGGTGTTGATGAACTAAGAATGGTCAAAAAAAGTGACGGCTCCATGCATGGGGGCGTGTCTCGGGCGCTGCTGCTGCTGGGGATGTGGGGCATTGCGGCCCTTTACTGAGAAATTGCAGTGAGGACTTCCTGCCACCGGCGTGAGCATCTGTGCCTCTCCACGCACCCTCCGAAGTAACTGCCAGTTTTTTTGTGGATGCACCGCTTATTTTATGTATTTTTATTTTTGGTTTGAATACCCCTCCCCCCATGAAAGTCGTTGTGTAAGGGCGCGCTCCCCCTCCCGGGACTGCACCGCTGGTTATATGTTTTGTTCTTCTCTTTCATTATATATACGTGTATTTGTCTTCTCCTATATGGTGTAGTTTTCTGATAATGGCGGATTGTATTTAATGTTTCCGTCGGCCGATGATAAGTGCACTCGGCATTGAGCGCCACGACGATGGCGGAGTGAAAGAAAAAAACCGCACTGAGTGCCCCAATGAAATTTGGGTGTTGTGTAGACAAAATAGGGCTGAGCGGTCGAAGCCAATGTGTTTTTACTTTTGCATGAATAATGTACAAGCAGTCTTTTTTTTTTTTTCCCGCGTCACGATGGGATTCTTTTTTTTTTTTAGTTCTTTAATGGGCGTGCAAGTTTTTTTAAAAGGGGCTTTAGAAAATTTCTAACTTATTTTTATTTTAGGAAAATTATTGTGGGTTGCCGCTGGTTGGGCTGCCGTGCCATCTCGAGCCTCAGCGGCTTTCATCCTCCCTTTTTTTCCGTCCTGCACCTCTGCTGCGTGTTTGTGTGCGTCCCCTTCACTTGCGTGGCTCTCTTTTTTTCTTCTCGTTTTTATTCTTTGAGTGACTGCAGGCACACACACAAACGCACGGCGTACATGTTGCGGTGCAGTTGGATGCTCCTCCTGCACTCGGTGCTGGCAGCTGCGTCACTCCGTGGACATGAGGAGAAGGAAGGGGGAGGCGGTGAGAGTGCGCCACGGCTCTCATCCCCTGTGGGAATGCTGAACGGCGTGTGGCGGTATTGTTTTGAGGCGCCGCACCATCACGCACGAGGACGTGGCACGGAGTGTAAGATCTTTTTTTTTGCGTGTCTGCTGCTGTGGGTGTGGGTGCGGCCGCGTCGGACTTGTCGGCACGATGGCCGCAGCGTGTGGCTGCCACTCTGTTCTCTCGGAGAATATGCTGCCACGCCTTTACGTGTGTGTTGTTTCGGGGACAATGTGCCGGCGGCTGTGCGATTGCCGGGTGGATGGGGAGGAGCGGAGGGAAGTGCGTGAGCGCCGCGGTCAAGAGTCGCGCTGGGTGTCTCGCCGCAGAGGGCATTCCCCACCAAACCCAGCACCGCTCGTGCCGGGCACCCTCTATCACACTGCAGCATCGTATTCGACGCCAGCAGCACGCAGCGAGGCAGCGGATGCCGCCACCGCCACGAGTGCGACCTGAAGGGGACACGTCTGCTGTTGCGTTCCGAGGGGGCACTCCGTGTGGCACAGCGGCGTGCCCACAACCTCTTCGCGGAGTCCGCACACGACACCGGGCACTGGCCGCGGAGTGTTTGCGTCGTGGAGGACACTGCGGCTGAGTCCCTCTTCCTTTCAGGTGGACGGACGCCTGTTTTTACTCTTTTTCCCACTCAGGCGGATGGCTGCGCGATGACACCACAACAAGGCAGCCATTTTCACCATGGAGGGACAATATTTGTGGTGCTATGCATTGGGAATGTAATTGACAAATGCAATATTGAAGGCAGTGCCATGGTTCTTTTGTGCTGTGCGAATTGCAAAAATTTTCCATAAAGCACGTAATTTGCCTTTTGCCTTTTTCTTTGTTCTGCCTGGAAGGCTGCCATGATGCATCGCCATTGTGGCGTGTATGATTTTGGGGTCCCTGCGTGTGGCCGCTGCTTTACCGAATCCCCTTCCCACTTTTGTGTGTGTTTGTGTGTGTCAGGGACGATATGCGCGCATGTATTATTGTGGAGTGTGTGCGGTGACGGCGGTGCCACACGGATGTGGGACCGCAGCGAGCGGAATGCGTGAGCGAATCCTCCGTGCACACCACGTTGTTATTATTGTTTGCTCTCACCAACACTGTGCTGGGTGGTTGGCACCCGCGCGCCGTCGTTGCGGCGGTCCTCGTGCATGTGGTGTGTATCGCACACTGTGCCGTCACACTGTGTAGATGACTCTCCTGTTGTGTCTGCTAGTCATTTTGTGCGTATTTTTTATTATTATTCCCCTTTAGATTGTTTGTTATTTTTAGCTTTAACTGAATCCAACTAAGAAAACAAGGAGAAACAATGTCTGGAAAGAGCAGGAGTGTACACTATGACAATGCCAAGAGTCTCGCGTCTGCTGTACCGCAGGGAGATCGTCAGAGGAGGGCGAGGCCAGAGCCCCAAACCGACGTGGATCAACCCGCTACGACTCGCAGAAGAGTGGAGTGGGTGCGGCGATTAATGTGGGCTATTTACAGTTGAGTGGAAAGGAATTCATGCAGGGGATTCTACGAGTCTCTGTAGGATGCGAGGTGGCATCATGTTATGGAAGTTCCTGGCGGCGAGGGGCGGGAATGGAGGTGAGGGAGGGGAAACCACCGCAGTCATGGACGTACAAGGCAGTTGGCCGAACTCTCGAAAAGGATGACGGTGTGCAGCAATCCGGTGCAGCACGTCCCAGGCTGATGGTGCTCACCTCGGACAAGGGATGGCCGTACTCGTGGGAGGAGGATGGATCCACTCGTGTCTGCCATGTGAACTGTGAGGTGGAGCGAGTGTGGCAGATCGTCAAAGGCGATGTAACCGAGTGGTTTAACAGTCGTCCTGAGGAGCACTTTACGCCTCATCCGCGTGTGTTGATTGCGAAGCTTGGGATTGGGAGGTCGGTGAATGCCGGTCCTTACCTCATCTACCAGCCACCGCACTACGATGCGGAGCAACTCCAGGTTGTTTTCCACTGTTTGGGAGATATGACGTAAGTGTTTGACAAGACCGTCAAGCGGTGTCAGTATACATAGGTGACTCCGGTAATGCGTCTGTTGTGAGGAGTTTTTCTTGGCGTGGGGTGAAGGGGTATGTTGTCTACTGCGCGGCAAAGAAGGGTCGTGATCCGTCTAGGATGCGGCTTCCTCATGAATGGGGCATGGCTATGGTAACAACACCGAACGAGGGTAACTTTAAGGAATGGTACAACCAAGAGACAGCCGTAAGAACTGTAATGAATTACCCGGAAGAAAAGGACGTGAAGGCGTTGTGTGTTTGGATGAAGCGTGACCAGCCTTTTGGTAAGCAGGCAGAGTACTGGAGGGAGGTGAGGGTTGCATGGATAAGGTGGGACTGCTTCTCTGCTACACCTTTGATAAGCGATGATCTGGTGGTCGGATTGGGGTTTGCAACAGTACAGTTGATAAGATGACCGCTTTGGATACCAAATATTGCCTTACTTTGGGATCTAATAAAATGTGAGATGTTAATAACGTGTCCCACAAGCTTGTGGATACCGTCTGAGTACAAGGAGAGCGCAATGGCGAATTGCCTTTCAATGCACCGATGTCTGCCCACCTCGCGAGTAAAACATTGTACATGTTGGCAAAGTTAATGCCGCAGGCTGATTTTAATTTATTTGTATCGAGGATCAGGGATTATTTCATACCAAAAAGTTTGGGGAACTACACCGTTTTTGCATTTTTTAATGGGGATTCCATGACTGCAGTAGGACTCAAACTGGAGGGGCTGAGGCCACCAACACGAAGTGAGTGACACCGCTGTGCGCCGGAAGTGTACTCACAGGAGGACTCCACCAGGCACGATTTTTTCCGTCTGTGGAACACCGTTACCAGAAGACTGATGTAGAGTGCGGGGTGCTGTACACATCGTGGGCCACAAACTTTCCGCTGGTGGACGGCTTTTTCTTTGTTGATTCGCCGCGGAAGACGCTGGTTGGGCTGCGGATGACTACGGCGGGTGGGCACCGCACGATAACCAGCACTGTGAATCAGTTCACTGAGCGCCTATCGGGGTTTTTTAACGGTTGGAAGAAATTATCCCGAGAAATGTCGTGGGAGATGATTTATATACAACACGCATTCAGCAAAAAGACATCAAAATGGCATGAATGTGGTGTCGTCAATCCCAACAATGAAACCGACGCTGAAAAAGAGATTGTGGCGTTCTGGGACGGAAAGGTACACCAATACCAGTTTGTGTTAACACGTGATTTTGTAAATAAAATCCGAGAAATGAGAACACAACAATCTTGGGGGAAAAGGGATGGGGAAGAAAGTTAGGGAAATAATTGGGGAAAAAAGCGCATTTCGTTCTGGTGAAATATATTGGGAGTATTTTAACGATTTTTATATGTGTGTGCCTACGGGGTCTAGACAGTGAATGCCTTTCTTTTCAGAGGACCGTTGTGATCGGCAGTGCCACACTCACCACACCCTTTTTTCATTTTATTTTATTTTTTCCACCAGAGGCGCATCGTCACTAGAGGCTGTTGCGCACTACAGGGGCCGCAGATTTTTATTTTATTTTCATGGGATTTTGTGAAAAGAATGCTTGAGAGGGCGGCTGGCTGCCCAAATAAATTCATATCTCGTGCAAACGAAGATATCTCTTTACAGCTTTTTCCTCTTTTATCGCACGGTCTTTTGGGAGACCGCGATTGAGGGAGTCAGGGAGCCGACAGCTGCCAGACGGAATTTTTATTTTTTATTTTATTTTTTATTTTTTATCTTCCCACCCACCCAATTTGTGATTCCCGCCTTGCGGTGTTTTTTTTGTGGCTGGAGGAGCCCCAAAGGCCTGCCGCTTCGCGGGGGATAAGTGTTTCTAATTCTAACTGTGCGCAGCAGTCCACGGCAGTGATTGACTGAATTTGTATATATTTTTGGGGAAACATTACGGCGAACTCATTGCCTCTCCATTTACCGCTTTTTTTCTCCTGTCCTTTTTGGATAATTTCAGAATCCGGCCAGCGGCCCAGAAGATTATTCAGTGTTGTTTCCCTCTTGGTCTCTCGCTTTTTTTCTTTCTTTCTGTCTTTGACCCTTTTCTCTGTGCATGCAACAAATGCACAGCGCAGCATTCAATGTGATATTCTTCCA